CAATCATGTTTTCATGACGTGATACGTCCTAGACACAATTATGTCGACAGTTTTTCTCAGATTGACAGGCATGACATCACGTTTTCTTCGAGCATGGTCGACACCAATGACACCTCACTTCGAAATTAATTGATGTTTAAAAGATTAAGATGATGCTCGGCAATCCATAGAGCGACAACGTGATCCGTATCGCAAGTCATCGCACAGTTGATGAATGCAATGCAAATGTGTAGCATAATGTGAATATAACGATGAAGGATGTACTGGCAAGTGCATCATTTGTCAAAGCAATGGCAGTAAATAATTGGGACAAATACAAGGTCCACGCTTAACGATTAATTTGAAGGAGAATAGTTCATGATTAGGCAAATGTTACATGCTATAACAAATTCGACAGTGTCCCCTCCATTTCAATAAGAAAGAAAAACGTTCACAATGCACTCTAGCATGCAATATTTCAAATTAGCGGCATATATTCAAAAAATCTTATCGCACCACAGAGCCTAATAGGCACCCCTGTTGCGCCATGCGAGTAGAAAGTCGGCGCATAGTAGCCACTAACCAGGCACGGACATACCATCAGTCGTTTGCTCTCATCACCGGAGACGGGATCGCAGGGCATCTCTGGCACTCTAATGAACCTAATGAGTCCACACAGTGGGGCAGCTGCGGCCACTCTGAGGTCACTCCAGGGAGGGGGATGGGATGGTGACCCCTGTGGTTCCATAGAAGCGCCGCCGAGTGGTGTGGTGTGGGCGTGGAGAGCTGGTGGGCGGGCCAGATTTCAGGGGGAGGGAAAATGGTGGTGGTGGACGGCCGGCATTCCTAGAGAACTGCTGAAAACTGAAGGATTGACGCATTTAACTAAGCGTTTATTTATTTATCTAAGCTTGCTAACTTCGAATTCTGCAAGCGGAAACAGTGAGCAGCGAGCTGCACCGACGGTTACGCTATGCTTGCATTCTTGGGAGCAAATCTAAATTTACTATCTTGCTTATCAGTGTTTGTATTCCTACTTTCAATCTTGTATCAGCGATCTGACGACACCAGCAGATGGCCGATCTGACACAGTGGATGTCCGGTGACAGGTGACACAACAGATGACCGATGTGACACCGGCCGTCTGAGGTGTCAATCGGTGTCATCACTTTGACCCGACGGTGTCCCGCGGCGGGACTGCCGAAACAGCGCTCTGGGGAGCGGCCTGGTGTGACGGATCTGCGTGTCCGCTTGGTCCGACTCCGCGGGGTCTCATTAGGACGAAAACACGAGAAAAAAAAACAAGATGGATCTGCTCGCCATGCTCTGATCACATTATGCGTCCGCGGTCATGGATTTTAGCGGGTGATGAGTGGTGGTTAGGTAAGCTGTTACTCGGTCACGAATTGTAATGAGCTAAACGTGGCGAAGGTTTGACATGTTAAATATCAGCGTCGACATTTTGACGTTAGTTGGAGATGTTTTGTGAATGAACTCTGGCAGCTAAATTTGTGTAACACGTTGTATGAATTACGCATACGTGACTCTTACGACACAATGTTGATCGGGGGGGATGAAATATTCTGCGATTTCTTGAAGAGAGCATGCCTAAGTAGGATTTATAAGTATCCCGTGCCTACAGTATCCGAGAAACGAGAAGCTCCTCGCGTTTTATTCTTCTCCTAATCTTTAAAATGATTGAGACACAAATATCAAGAGAAAGAAAGAGGGAGAGAGAGAGAGAGAGAGAGAGAGAGAGAGAGAGAGAGAGAGAGAGAGAGAGAGAGGAGAGTAAGGGAAAGGGAGGGAGGGAGAGGGAGAGATGAGGATAGTCTATAGCACGAGATTATCCCGATTTCCGGTGCCGCTCGCTGCTCCGCGGCGTATGTAATGTGATGCCGCCCTCACGACTCAGAGCGGGAGTGTGACCCCTTTTCTGACGCGGTCAGGTCAGCCATTCATTCAACTAATGGAGCGGAAGGATCACTCTCGCCTCAACTCACCAATTACGCTATTAAACTCGTGAGCAAACGCTCTGTCTGAAAGCCGCAATCTACTTGATAAGACAGTCCATCAGCAGAGCTGCCCGCATATTGATGTGGAGAGTTTCTCGATGGGAAGTCTAGCCATTGAGGCTATTTTCGTTATTATATTAGGGTGCCTTTGAAATGTTCGTAATTATATTGTGTTTGCATGATGAATTTACTGCATGCGACAAAAAGTAGGTGGGCGTACTGTTTACTATGGAGTCCTGACTACACCATGCAAAACTGATATACATACGAGTATATTGCAAAGTTTTAGATTAAGTGCAATGCAATTTTACTACAGTGATCCCGTTTCAAATTTCTAAGCAATATCTTAGCACTAAGTTTTCATTGTTTCATGGAACAATGAAGTTACGCACTGTGGGGCGTTTACTCAACATTAGCTGATTTCAAACCAGTCACGTTTTCGGCTTCTGACGGCTAATCAAAGAAGCTCCATAAAATGCTGTCCGATCCATGGGAATGTTTCGTCATCCAGCCCGCCACGGGTCGTCGCATCGCTATTTCATTAGCGTCCTCACTGATGTCCCAATATGTCCTGTCAGAAATCTGTCCGCCTTCCAATTGCCGTCGGGTAGTCAGCGTGGGTAACTAAGACCTTCTTTGTATCCGTGACCTACACATTTCAAGTTTGTTTCTAATACTAGAAATGTTTTAATGAAATATACGCTTTTGAAGAGTGTTTTGCTGTCAAAGCGGCATTATGTAATGAGCCTATTGTGTCGTTCCACTACCGTGCTTTGACTACGCGTTTCACGATATACAGTGCATCATTTTGCTCTTCCCTTCATGTTAAATGCTCTCATTTCTTAGTTCACCCAAACCACACCAGACATATTCAGCCCACTATAACGATATATATATATATATATATATATATATATATATATATATATATATATATATATATATATATATATATATATATATATATATATATATATATATATATATATCCCGCAAAATTATACATCCGTGCACGTGTCCTCGTATACCTCCGATACGACACTTGGCCACATACATACGACTCCATAAAGTCATGACAAGCTATGAAAATTCGACGCTGATGTTCATGCATCGGCTCTAAGTCATGCAAAACTGTCCGTTTCATCTCCCTCGCGTGGTGGCGCGGGGCCCGGAGCACCCGGAACGGCTGGCTAAATCGGGCGGCGCCCGGCCCGGGCCACCGGAGTCGCTCCATTCGGACTGCGTGCCCGTGCCGACCTCGAGGCAGCAGTAATCACCGCCGGGACTGTCAAGGCCAGCCATGGGCCGCTCTCAGACCCTCAAATGTCACACCGGTCGTGGAAACCGTCAGACCGGCTGCATGATTTATTTAGGGTGAATTACAACCTGTGGTGGTTGCAACATGCCACTGTTGTATCCGGCAATGAGCGAGTATTTTGTAAGCTGCGTCGCGGTCATGTGAACTTATGCATCAATTTTATATGCGCTTATAAAAGTACGTTTTGTCACCATGTATCCCAAAATATTTACCAGTTTAGAACGATAGCACAGATTTAGCATGGATCATGTTGACCAAGACCAGAGCAGTGCGGTGCGGCACCGACCGGTCTTATTCAGCCGTCTGTAAGAGGAGCCGGTGCCTGTAATAGGAGCGGCGGTGCGGTGCCTGACAGGCTATTGATTCGTGTGCGGCGCTGACATGGGCAGATGACGGGTGCCGGTCTCACCTCAGTCACGCGCGGCCCCATCGGCATTGTCTGCGGCCGCCCAGGTCACCACAGGTCACCGCAGGTCACCAGAGGTCACCTGATGGAGGCGGAGGTCGCCGGGTGATGCCTTTGAACAGCCGGAGTAGAGGGTTGGCGGAGGTGCAGTGACGAGGCGACCTCTTACACAGTGGATCGGCCGTCCTTGTGGCAATGGAGCGGACCCGTTCTGAAGAGCGCCCTGGGAACTTGAATGGGCGCGCGTTTTTTATGTTCAATGCTAGGTCTGACCTGTTTCTTCACTGAAAGGACTCGGCTCCACTGGTTTGATCAGATACCTCAAAGCGGCGTCAATTTTGGATAGACTTTGGGCAATTACCTAGTCACTGTTGCAACAGATGAATTAGTCATCGAGGAAAAGACCGGCCGTATAATGTGATTAAAAAGTTCAATTATCTCTGTGTGGACTAATCGTAATCACGAAATGAGGCGGGTGTGTCGTGTGAACAGGCAAGCAGGGCATTTCGTCACTCCAGTTTTTTCGTTCTTTCCGGACAGCGCGCACGCTGGAATCAAGCATGCGCTTCATACCGAAGGGGTCCCCAGCGGCGCGTTACGAAGTAAAAGTACACTGTAGTCCTAAATGTTGCTATTTGCGCACCAGCGCAATGCTGCTACTGACGGCGGGTTGTGACCCGAAACATTCCCCTTCGCCTTCTCTGCGAGTAATTCGCCGGCTGCTCCCATCGCCGACCTTGCTCGCTATCTTGCGTCACGGAAGAGGAAACCAAAGCCCGAGGAGAACCACTTGGCGGCGGCGCCTTGCGTAATTAATTTCGGCTCGTGCACGCTGCCATCTCTGCCGAGCATCGGACTTCCATCAATATTCGAGCGCTGGTTTTTATCGGCGCCGCGGTGCCGGTTTTTCGGTAGGTGTGAGCCGATATCGGACAGACCGCTGAGCTGTCTGCGCGCTGATTAAAAACCGGCCGAGACGGGTGGCCAGGTAGACGGTCAGTGCCGGATGGGCTGGTTCGTGCACTGACTAAATATATCGGCAATGGATTCACGGACAGCTCGAGCGGAACATGTCCGACTTCGCCGGTGATGCGTGCCATGTCTGGAGATTGTGTGATGAATTTGTCGGTTGTTCGATGCATTGGATTGGAACCGATTCTTGTCAGCTCCTCGTTAACTCCATGTGTTCAGGTGCATTTTTGCTTATTTCACGGACGTTTCTCTGCCTTATGCCTCTGTTTGCATTTCCTGTCGCTGACCTGCTGTGTTTTCTCTGTTTCAGGCCAGGAACACCGGCCGACACGGGTGGAAAAACAACGCTACGACGGCTGGTACAACAACATGGCGCACCCCAACTGGGGCTCCACCGGTGAGTTCCTCCTGAAAATGCACCGTGCCACACCCGTTAGCTGGCCACCCAGACTGGGAGCTATCTTTACTGAAAATACACCATGCCACGCCTATCAGCCCGGCCCTGCAGATGTTGCACAGTCACTGTTTACAGCACCTGTTTGGTCACGGGTTAGTTTGAAGTTTGTGATGACAGATGTTGTACTTCGTTGCGGTACGTAACAATTCAGAAGGCTAGCATAACAATCTCTTGAGAAAATATGTTGGGCACAAACTTCCAGGTGCAGCGTGTTTGATAAACACCTCTATATCTTTCGAAGAACCCGATTCATGAAATCAAGTTGAAGCTTCAGACGCTTAATGTTTCTTGCAATTTCATTTGTGCAAAACGCATGCCTGATGAGTGAAGGCTAGCTATGGTACAAAATACCGGTTTGATAGGTAAGCCTTGCAGAATGCGACAAATACGCCGCACCGCGCCGCTGAACCTGAGCGCAATCGAGGGGCGACTTTTGCAATCTCTGTCCATTCCACTGGTTTTCATTGTCAAACGGGCCATTCGCCGTCACATCACCGCCCATAGGCAGCGGTGCTGGCCCACGCTGATGAACTCCATTGAGTGCACTCGGACCGCCGTGGAACGGCATTCCTTCGGACCGGCTGGAAATGACGTCCTCAGAACCATTCAGCCAACTGTGCGAGAGGTCACTAGGTCATGACGATGGCACAGCCGAATGAAAGAGCATCTTTGCATAAATGGACTTTTGCTGCAATTCTATCTGATAGATAAAAATTCATTCGTGCCTGTTTGCTCTCCACAGTATTGTTCTTCACCGGCAAGAGCCAATGTCGACTGGCTATCTGCGAAAATACTTAGGAAAACGGTTGTTTACTCACCTGACCGTCCTGACCGAGCCAGCCTGGTTTATCAGCAAGATGTTACAATCCTCCTGTTACACACACGCACACTGGATAAGCGCCTCCCCTCATAGCGCTGCAGCTAAATAACCCCTGGACATTTCAAGCTCCGTCACCCGCGCAAACAAACACCACCATAACGGCTGTGTTTACTGTTTACCAGCCGGACTGGTAACGAAGCCATCAGCCGGTAACGGAGAGAGGGGCGGGGGCATCGGTGAGAGTGCGGGGTCACCTGGGACCGTCCGGGATCTGTTGGTGATCTTTTCACCGGCGCTTTCATCTGCACGACAGCGGCGCTCCCACAAACCACCGTTCCTATACCGCGGCGCCGCTGGGCTGCCGATCTCCTGCCGCTGCTAGAGCTGCCGCTGCTATATGTGTCGGACGGTATGGATCGAGCTGTGATATCAATATCAGTGGTGCAGCGAGCAGGCTGGCTGGGACGAGAGAGTCAAGGCGAGGGAAGTGAGAGGGAGAGAGAAGCTGAAAATGAAGACATTTCGAGGAGCTGACATGACTGAGGTCACTCATCATCAGTCGGCTCACGTCTGTTTGATTTGTGGGCTCTGTATGCGCAGTGTGTCAGAGACAGACTCGCTCACCACCAGCTAGTCGCCTCTCGGAGTAAACGGCTCTGTCAACGCTCGCGATCAGCGTCAGTCGCCGTGACGTCCGCTGACGTCCGCTGACGTCACGTCAGTGATGGAGGCGCGTGTTGCGCCACGTGCACCGTTCCGCGGCGCCCCCGACATCTGATCTGGCCTCACGCGCTGCCTGACTGGCGGAGTGAGACGGTCGAAGATATTGGAGAGGTCATTAATAGTCCTGTCAGTGGCAGCGACAGACGCTTATAATCCGGATCCGAAGACGGGAAACGATGTCAATCGCCGCGCACTGAGTAATTTGTAAAATGTGTCGGCGAATGTCGAGATGCGAGACATAAGCTGTTTTGAGGAACTGTGTGCATGTGGTCTAAACTAGGCATACTTGGCTGCCTTCTGCGACCTATTGGCATTGAGTTACAATTGACTGTTGCGTAGATCGCCTTGTTTGTCCAATTTCTGAAAAGATTGATCACCTTTTCAGCATTGACAATCAATGTGTGTAATTTTTCTCCGTTTAGTAAGATATCTGATACCACAGAAGCTTGCGTTCAAAACATTTTCATCACTACCACTTTCATGGAAAATTATGGCTCAAATAAGACCAGAGTGGTGCTTAGGTCTAATTACACCCTTCTGGTGGAAGTAGAGACGCGTTTTATAGGCAACACCTTCACGCCGGTAACGGGTCATAAAATCGACCGCTGCTCTCTCAATGGCGCTCATAACGGCCCCACAAGGGCAATTCTAGTGCATACGCTTGGCTGCGTCTTGTCAGCAACACTTACACAAACAATTACCTGTAACGACAATGGCCCTGGCACTGCTACCATGAGGCAATTTGATTAGGAGTTTGATTTACAGCTGGTAAGCAGGAACTCGATTGGGAGAACACGCGCTGGTCGTCACAGCTCCCTCGCGAGTGTCGAGGAGTTGAGTTCGCTTATTAACTCAATCGAATGGTTACGCCTGTCGGATTGCCTCCACCAGCTCAGTTGGGTGGTGGCTCAGCCAGTGAACAGACTCGGCCGTAAATAATATTGCACCAATCCTGCCCATTCAATTAGAATAGCGTAAGCAGCCCGCCCAGGCTCGATAATCAGCAGTTAGCATGAGGGAATAAAGGCGATAAGCCAAACCCACCCAGCTGTGGATTATAAATTAGATGTTAACGTTCGTCATACTAAAGGATGGATTCAAAGGAAACATTTGAAGGCCGGTTTGAGTGGACTTTCTTTTGATTATACATCACAAATAAAGCTGTGTTTAGGGTTTCATTATCACGTCTCAAGATCCATTTAAGCCCACCTACCCTCGGCCAGCCGAGCTGTGCATCGTTTGTATTCGGATCGCTCGCCTTTTATTATCGGGTTCATCTGTGTTGTGCAGGCGGAGATGAGGGCTTACACTCTGATTCACTGACGACCTAATTCTGCCGATGCCCTGGAATTCAGGCGCTAAATCCTGCCCAAATGGACAGCCGGGTCAGGGTCTTGCAGTAGTTTGCCAGCCGCGAAGTTAATGCAGGCACGGCCACTCATAGAATCGTGTTCAATGGTAGGTTAGTACGCTTTTATCTTGCTCCCAAATGCATAATTTAGCAACGCCACCATGCCTGACTAGCGCTCTATTCATTGAATGCAAAATGGAGACCTTTCCACTGTCTTTAGTAACCATTAGAGGTTTTGGAACAGAAAACTATACACTGGTATGATTATGATAATTCCCGACTATTATCTGTCAAACGAATGTCGAACATCCGATCAATTCCTGCGTCTCAATGCTAATCGTCAGGCTGCTCACATTCCCCGTCATCGTTAAACTGTGCGCTCCACTCTCACTGACTGACGGCTGCGCCGGGTTCACGTCAGCTGCGTCACATTTGACGTCACTCTGATGTCCGTCTGTGATGTTGGTACGGTGAGAGGTCACCCGCTTTGTGCTGCGTAATTAGCAGCTGTCAGTTGGGCCCTCAGAGGACTCCGATGATTTAGATATCCACTGTCAAAACTGCCGCTACCGTGCGGAGTTCTCAGCGTTGGCCAGTTTCGAAACCTGAATAGGCGCATATTGGCAAAAAAACATAGGTAAAGCATACTTAATTTAGTCAATTCGTTATTGTTTTCATTACAACCATCAGCTTCCTTGCGAAGGTAGCATATATGCTGCATGCATTGATTTTCTCACCAGTAATTCCATTGCAATGCAATGGGTCATAGGTAATCAATAAAATAAAACAAAACCACTGTTTCAAACAGACAAGTAACAGGCAGCTGCAGGATGTATGTAAGTTCGGGGCAGCGACCAGTCTGTCACAAAATGACATGGCGAATCGTCTTTTCACGATACTTTTCTCCTTTATCTTACAGAGCAGCGACTAACGAGGAAGACCCCGCCCTCGTACTCGGATGGAGTCTACATGATGGCCGGGGAGGATAGACCCAGTCCTCGTAAGCTCAGCCGTATCCTAATGCGAGGAAAGGACGGAATGCCATCAACAAAGAACAGGACTGCGCTGCTCGTCTTTTTCGGTGAGTCCAAGCTGCCCCAGGTGGTATTTTAAAGCATATACTGGTCATTCCACTTCGTGTTGAAGAGGTCTTTGATACACTTTATGATAAAACTTTTTCTTCCCGAAGTTTTTTATCAGCCACATATGTAAACTGTGCAACAACAGCCCTTATTGCTGAATTTATCTCGTAGTATCGCTCGAGACATCTGAAGTTCAGCTGCGACTTTCCCGCTATTTCTCTCTGTTGTGAGCTCACAATTCGTCATTTTCCGCTGATGTCAGTTATCTGCAGTCGGTTGAGCTGAAAAATGGCTGCGGCGACCCTTTGCGGGCGCTGCCGATGGAGCTATCGACACCCCACAGTATGACGTATGGCTCCGACTCACGAGTTGTCACGGTAGTTTGGGGCGCCATAAACGCCGCAGGTTTCTCCGGCGTAAAAACGGCGGTCAACAGTAAACATGTTTACGTGTCGGTCTCTGGTCAATAAGACTCACACAGAGTAAACCATCAGCCTTCTGTTCAACATAATGGACTAAATCTAGTAAAAGAAATGGTCATTCGCAGGCAAACGACTGCACGCACACAAAAGAGCATGAATGTGAACAATGGCTCCTCAAACATGTTTGATATCGCAATAATGTGAACCAACGACCAGTAGCTAGTGGTATCGTGCAGGACCGCAAACCGCTTCAGCCTCGCCCAGTATCACAAAGCCAAACCAGTTCAGCTCGGTGACAAATAAGGAGGCGCCCACCCTTGAACCCTGATGACAGCTGCTAGGCCGTTGCAGGCCGGCGGACTCGCTCGTGCAGTGGGTCGCGTTCGTGTGTCACGAAAGAGACGCGGCACGCGATTTTGTCACGTGTTCTCCGATGGCTCCTGGGCAGATTCTCAGGCCTGTCTGCAGATACATCAACAGGCACGAGCACACTATTCTGATTCGATAGCAGTGGTACTGGTGATCATGTTGAACTTTCTCCTGCAAGCAGCATTACGATCCTATATTTGAGAGACTTGCGTGAATGACTGCGTATTGCGTATTTAGTGCATGACGTGACATAATTCCAGGTGATTTACATTACTTTGTGTGACTAAGCCTGCAGCTGGATCCGATTCAACCCATCCTCTAACGTAATCTGACCCGATCTGACCTGACCTTTCGCTGTCCCACAGGTCAGGTGGTGTCCTCCGAGATCCTTATGGCCTCCGAGATGGGCTGTCCGATCGAGATGCACAAGATCCGGGTGGAGCAGTGCGACGAGATGTACGACGCCGATTGTAGCGGGGAGAAGTACATGCCGTTCTATCGTGCCGGATACGACTCCAAGACGGGACAGAGCCCCAACATGCCCCGCGAACAGGTGAGCGTGTGGGAATGTGCTGCTGATGGATGCTTGTCATCTCAACCGCAGCATTTATATCTTACTTGTTCGATGGAGCATTTGGATGGATTTTTTATTGGATGGTTCATTAACACTGAACGGCATTTCATTACAACGCCTAGAGATAAGAACCAAAGTTGAAAAGGACGAGGTAAACCTCCATCGCTTTCCCATGCTCCACTCTATACTTACGATTAAATATTTTAGATCGTATAGGCTATGTGACACATAAATCATCTTTTTATACGGCATTCTCCGGGTGTGAATATTCAGCAGGCATGCACCGCTCGCAGTCACGGACCCATCCATTAAAGAATGGAGATTACCAGATAGCGTAATGGCCGTGCCGGTGGCGCGACACTCTGGGTGGTCCAGTAATGAACCTGTTCGGGGTCAGGTGACCTCTGTGTGATGTACCGGCGGACAGGGTCACAGTGACGGGGGCGGACCCAGGGGCCCTCCGTCACTGCAGAGGAGACCGGGGGCTGTCGTCGAGACGGTTCATCAGGGCTGATACGGACCCTCACAAACTAGGACTGAATGGCAATAAATATAGGTGGTAGGTTTAGCCATCAGCAATAAGGAATGACGTTTGAGTAGGTTTATTGTCAGTGATACAAGGATAATTAGAAAAGAGGTAGAATCAAAGTTTCCTGTTTCCGTCAGATCAACTCGAAGACGAGCTGGATCGACGGCAGCTTCATCTACAGCACCAGCGAGGCGTGGCTGAACACGATGCGCTCCTTCGAGAACGGCACGTTCAGGACCGACGAGAACGGCATGCCGCCCAAGAACCACGAGCGCGTGCCCATCATGAACAAGCCCAGCCCGCATCTCTTCAAGACGCTCTCCCCGGAGCGGATGTACTGTGAGTACCCGTTTTATACAGATTTAGAACAAATAATTCAGTAGGTACACTTTTCGGTGTGCTTGACCGCAAGAAACCATCAGTTACTAACCAAGGTTGCATCTAACATTGTTTTCTTTCGATAATATATCGGACAAGCCCTGTACATTGTAAGTACATACGGGACACAAAAAGTGCACTTAACACTCAGGCGCCTCAGATTTCAAACGGTTTGACACACAGATGACGTCTATATCCCAGGGTCCAACACACTTGGAATGTTACGGCTTTCACGCTCCAATAACTCAATTCGTATTCCCCTGCCCTGATCCCATAACTTATGTCATAAAATGAAACATTTACCGAACGATGCATTGTGTGTCATAAATCTGATAGTACGATATAAAAGGTAAGTTTATGCTGTCCCAACTAGGGTGGTGAGGAAATGATGAACAGTTTTGCACTTATATGGCCTTACTCTGATGGGGATATACCGACTTTTAAAGAGGCTATCGAAGTCACCATCAATAATAGCGTGATGGTCTGCTTGGAACCGCTTGGAAATGAATGAGGATTGCCCGAATGAAAATGTGATACATCAAGCATGTAAGACGTTAATGATTGATATGGTGTTGAATTCCCACGAAGAGCGTTTTAAAAAAAGTTGAAGGCAGCGTTATCAAGACATAAATTAGCTGAAATAAAATCAGCCACCCATCTGCAAGCACAAGGTCCACTCCATTATGTGAATTTATTTAAAAAAAAATAGGGAGAGGCTATAGCGCTCACACAATGAAAGCCAATTATCCTCTAGCCTCTCCAGTCTTCAGCTCAATTTCGCGCTGACGAAGCGTCTCGTCAGGGCCGGTCCCGTCGCTGACAGCAGGTCAGCCCTCTGCGGCTCTCTGAGCTTGATCAGCTAAATCAGCTTATGCTCCTCATGAATTTTCCTTGTTGAAGGAGATGAGAGTCACCCAAGAAGATTTCATATTCGATATTCTCGCTGCACTTTCCACATATTTTTGCTTGTCTGTTGTATACTACATATGTATATTGCCATCTTACTTCTTTGTCTGTAAAAAAAAAAAAAAAAAAATGCAAACAGGTAACGTATGTTTAGTGTCGACCTAAATGTCTTGTTGGCACAATTGTGCAAAGATAATCCCATTGGAGAAACTGCGTCCCCTGAGCAGCTGAGCAACAAACCAGCAGACATGACGGGTGCCCGGTCACCTCTAACGTACGGCCTCCGAACAATGGAGCTGTTATCGCCGTATTTATTGGACAGGGAGACACGCCACAAACGCAAAGTGGCCATTATTTTCGCCCGTCGTGATGAACGATGAAAGGGAATGGTGATTCTGTTCGAACGCTGAAATAGCGGCTCAGAAAAGGCGTTGTTGAAATAGCTGCCGTTATCTCTGTTTGGATCAAGATAAGAACATACCGCTGGCGCAGTGCCTTTTTTACACGGCACCGTTCGGCAAATTCGCACCAATTAAGGGATGGAAAATATTGCCTATGTCAATTGGAAAATGTAACGTTTCAAGCATCCTTTTAGGAGCAGCTGTGCAAATAAAGCCCATTGAGACCATTTAACTCACCAGACGTTCTCTACCCCCCCCCCCCCCCGTCAGCCCACCGTCACCCTGCCTGTGTGTCTCCTCGCCCGTACATAGATCCTCGACACAGCGGGCTCCCGCTGACCCGTCTAACATTCCTCCTGTGCCACTGTGCGCCGTGCGTCGGCCACCGTCAGGTAATGGCAGGCGGCCCGTCAGAGCGCGGTGCCTCCCCCAATGACCAGGAGACGTGCGGCAGATGAAAGCTGCTGATACGCGCACGGCGCGGGAGCGGCCGCCGTGGGTACAGCGAGGAGGGAGGGGAGGCAGCCCGGCGGGCCGGCACGACCCAGAGACACGGAATGGGACGGGTGACACGGAATGGGACGGGGTGACACGGAATGGGACGGCGTGACACGGAATGGGACGGCGTGACACGGAATGGGACGGGGTGTCACGGAATGGGACGGCGTGAGGGGCACGTCGCGACACAGTCCGACGAGACGCGTCAGGGCGCGGCCCCACACGGTGCGCGAGGCGTTACGAGCGAGATGCGGCGCAACAAACGCGTCATACGTCGAGGTTGATGGAATGTAAAACAAGGACAAGAAGCGTATCTCAGACGTAGACCCGAGAAGGAAAAACCCTGCACGTCACGGAGAAACAGTGAATAGCTCAGCAAAGTGCAGCTCGGTATGTTAAAATAGCGGAGAGCCACGCATTAGAAGTTGTGTTGAGTCACCCATCACAAGTGTAAGCTGAAACTTGACCCAGCGACAAATAGTTCGAGACTGGAGCAGATCAGCCGGCTAGATTACGACCGTGATATGCAGAACGTGCGCCATGATTGGCCCACGCAGCTCTCAGAAAATCATGCCCAACTCTTGGGAGGCACGAACTGGACAGGGCACGAACCCTGATTTCTCCAATCGAATCGGGGTGACGCGGGTGGTATTTGACTTTGGAGAGGCGGCCAGACGCATAGCTGTTTTTAGTAAGTCGTCGAGCTGCTTCTGAAATGCCTTTCATTCTTCAGCGCATAGTTTAGAGGTCGGTTATGAGCAATATGCATTATGCATTTGCTACGTGTTTTGCCTCAGTGCTAGATCGTCGTCGCGTCAGCTCAAAACTGCATAATTGCATCAGTCAGTAATTACTTAACTCCATAAATGCAGGCTCACCCAAAAATTCCACAATCGGCAAACACCAGCCGCAAAACCCGAGCGCTAAGCGCAGGAGCGTGCCGTTTGATTTTTCTCGAGAGGTCACGCTGGGGAGACTGTGCAGCGGGTGGCCTCACGAACCACGCCCATTGTCACCGACACAAATCGGCCGGTCAGGGCACAAATCGGCCGGTCAGGCCGCCGGTATCGGTCCGATCGGCGGCAGTGTCCCCTGGCCGGGCGACTCGGGAGCGCGGGACGACCTCCAGTCGTGCGGCCGACCTGCCCTGACCTCGCTCCAGTTGTGGGCAGACGGGCAGGAGGCAGCCGCTGGATCCGCTCCCAGCTGCCCCTGATGGTGGGTCCAGTGTGGAGGGGCGGGCAGCAATAGGCGGGGCGGGTGGGCAGGGATAGGCGGGGCGGGCGGGCGATGTGGGCGGGGCGGATCGGACAGGCGGGCCGTGCCGACGACAGCGCGCCGCTGACTGGTCAGGTGGGACGGCCGGAGACTGACGGCCGGGCGGACCGCGTCGGACCGGGCCGGTCCGGCCCGCGCGGTGTCGGGGCCGCGATTGAAGCCTGTTCCGGACCGAGCTATGGCTCCATTACTGTCCGAGGTGCTGCACGATGACCGGCTGAACTCGGTCGAGGCCTGGGCTGGGCCGGCCGGCCGCGGTCGTAACTTCAGGTCGCGCCCACGGCCGCGGCAGACGTCAGGTCGCCAGACAGAGTCAGGAATGCCCTCCTTGGCCCCAGTTCAGACTCAGTCTCAGCCGAGTCAGCAAAACGTCTTGGCTACTCCGTGTAATTCCAGCCCACTTCTCCTCCACTCTTCAAACCCTCTTATCCTATTTGTCAGCTCTAGGACTTGCCCTATACCTATCTTGATTCCAAGCACAATCGTCGAGTGCTCCTGTACCCGCGACATTTTGTCCGGCTTCTCATCCATAGGTCGGCCATTCCCGCCGACCGGCCCCCAATCTGGGCCCCAATCGGCCGCGGCCCTGACCCCGGTCGGAATCTATACCAGTCCTCGTCTGATCAGGAGCCTGGCCGGCGGGCGTGAGGAGACATTACCGTCAAAACAGAGGCGCGGAGCGGTAGCCAGCCCCCGGGCGACCCGGGGCCGTCTCAGAGTGTTACAGTTCTCCGACTGCCGGGGGAGGTCCGATGGTATCTGTCCCTCTCTGGGTGGAGGGTTTCGGTTATCTCTACCATCGGAGACGAGCCATGTCGTTAACCGGCGGGGTTCGACTATTGGTTAGCGCTGGGAGCATCCCGCGCCCCATATAATTACTGAATCCGTCCCGCCAGTGATTGGCAAATTGCAGAATGGGAAATAAACGTAAAGATGACGGGAGCGACCCTGACCGAGGAGTTTATTCCAAACCATTCGGTCATATACCCGACTGTCGCCGGGGGCAAAGGCTGAGTTTACGTCGGGGGCAGCCGGCCTCCACTTGGCCTGTTGGGCTCACAAACTACCGTTCAATAAAATACGAGCCGATATCGACAAAATTATGGATTGGCAGTGTGGGTATACCTTCGCGTACCACCCCTGCGCTGTTTTAAACGCTGACATTGACTTTAGCGGTCACGAGTGCCATTAGGGATACGGCAGAGTGCTGCGAACATGATGGTTATGTCTCACCACAGAGCATCGCATTTACTCTGCTGTCGTATCTAGTAATAAACCTAGTTGGCTTACACCCAGGTCAAGATCATTGTCATGCGCCGCTATAACAGCGGATAGTTATATACATTTCGTTCTAACCTTCGAAAGAAAGAGAGTATAAAATGTCATACCATACTCTGTTATGGCCATAAAAAGCCCAGCCTTATCAGCGAATGGTACATATCACTAGATTGCCCCAGGAACATTTTCAGGTGCCATTTACACGTGAATGGCTTGTTACATATCCATCCTACATACAAAGTGGTGCTGTCGATGCTTGTTTAAAGCACTACTTTCCTCGATCAAAGGCCGTTAGCCCTCGCTGATACTGATCACAAATCGCTGTGTTGGGTCGGTAGATCATAGGAAGGTACCTTATCTTCGCCGTGCGGTACGTACAGTACAAGCACATATTTTAGGTTGCGCAATAAATAGGTGCGCAAATTACAGGACTATCAGAGTGGTCTGACAGCACCTGATTTACTAAGGATGCTGATTTGTTGTTCGTGCACACCTGACACTAATAAAGCGTCGCTGCCAAAATATAGGCTAGATGGGTGAATGTTTTTCTTCCGCTGGCTAATATTGTTATATTTCCACATTTTCATTGCATTGCGTAGATTTTAGAAAAGAAGAAAATTGTAATCAACTGTACGTTTTTTTTTTGCTCAACAGTTAACGTGCTGAATTATTTAAAATAATTAAACCACTTACGACTAACCACATCAACCATTAACTACATAGATGGCATTTGGAATAAAACACCATTCACCTTATTTTTATGCTCTATTTTAGCTTTAACAAGATCAATGGCTCTTCCTTCTGTAATTCTAACACACAAACTGCACATTTAGATCAATATCGTATGATTTATTGACATCCCATCACTTATGCGTCTCTATTATTGCTATTTTTAACGATTAACATCATCAAGGCGTCATTAGTTATAAATTGCCATCCATATACATCCAGCACTTGCATCTTCATCGAATTTCAACATTGAATGGCTGCGCATTCATCACTGATATTCATTTATGGCATCGCTTTGACTCCATCTGAGATCGACTGGTACCAAATATGGCAGTCGCTCCGTGTTTTGGCGAATGCGGTGCACTGCTTATGTTCCACTTGACTAATGACTACGTGGGAAGAGTTACGGGACTTAATCACAGACACAGTTAACACAGACAATTCATTTGTATTCCTTAAGAGCCGTCCCGCGGCACTTTGGCCCAGGGCGGTAGGATTGTGAGCATGATATACGGGCTTCACACGTCATTGACCGCATTGTGTGGGATTGTGCTCTAATGGGCTAATGGTCGAATGCTGTAATGGTTATTGCAGCAGAGCAAGAGACTGGGCATCTTCAAAGGGACTGAGGTGTTTTTATACGTTGCGAATTGTTTAGTTTGTTGAACGTTTTGTAATTATTTAAGCCAATAAGAAGTTCACGACTGAGCTTTCATCATAACTGACCACTAAATCTAACTATGCATCACCACCTGCTAACCCGCACCTATGTCGTCACAGTGCTGGGAGATGAGCGGACCAATCAGAACCCTGCGCTGCTGTCTCTGGGGATCTTATTCTTCCGCTGGCACAACAAGGTGGCTCTGCGCGCTCAGGAGGAGCACCCAGACTGGAGCGACGAGGAGGTGTTCCAGCGGGCTCGCCGCATCGTGGTCGCCACGCTTCAGGTCAGTGATCGGGGAGATCGGACTGATCTGATCAAAGATGGACGGACAGAGAGATCAGGGGTGAGATGGGGCGTGCAGGTGCGAAACGAGATGGTTTTAGGTCAAGAATGTGGTGAATGGGACAGATAGGGAACTGGTTTGGCTTGTGCGTCCTAGAATAAAATGGAGTATGTGTGTTGGTGAGGAGATAACAGATTAGCAGAAAGTTGTGAAATGTTGCGAGGACGGGGAATCTTTAAAACTTGTTGAAGTAGTATTTGCTCGAAAATGCAATATGAACACGGGAAGAGGATTTAAATCAGAAGGTAAATCGTAACAGATAATATTCATGTGTTATATTGTGACGCAAAAGTTCATTTAGTGCTCTTGCGGTAAAACAAATCACAGACACAACGTCTAGAAATCGTGAGGAGAGATCCGTAGACAACCTTACAAGCATGACACGTCGAAATTTAACGGATTTTTGTACGATTTGCGCATCAGCCAGCGTGTGTTGCGTCACTCTGCTTTGTCTCATCTGATCTCAGTTGCCCGCCATCGTACTTACAATCTGTGAGAACCATGTGAGGGTAAAGGACCTGACGACCGCTGCGTGCGGCTCACCAAACCAGTTCTGGGTAGAGGTGGCAAAATGTGGACCCGAGGACCCGGTCCAAAGAACCAGTCTGGACCCATATGGGTCCAGACCGGTTCCTGGAAAATTTCTGACGGGTCCAACCGGGTACTACCATAAACTATACATCTTGCACACCACACATTTTTGCAAAATATGAAGTGAATGAAGCGAATGTTTCTTTGCACACAGTAGCTCATAAGTATTCCCAGTGGGAAATAGGCTGTTTTACATGATGCAACTAATGATACATACAAGCAGTTTGTATTAATTGACTTTTGGGGAACGGGTCCAACTGGTTCCGATTCCAACTAAGACCGGGTCCGACTGGTTCCAGAAATGTCCAGCCGGGTCTGGTTCGAGTCTGGTTCCCAAATTTTTTATCTTTTGCCACCTCTAGTTCTGGGCTCTGTGCGGTCGCTGATCCTCTCGAGAGCACGGTATGCTTGATCTGGCCCGAACACCGGTCGAGCCGAGTACCCCGACGGCCTCGAATATGACGGCGTGTTTGCTGTTCTTACATGGCAGGCTATCATTAAACACGAGACTAGTCTTAATTCGGGCGCTGGTTTGTGATAAACACGTCTTGTCTGGCCATATTATCGGGCTTAGTAATGCTGCACTCTGAATCGAGAGCAATGGAATAGTCGCATAGCGTGCCGTATAACGTCTAATGAAGCTCGCCTCGCAGTAACGAGCGCCTCGTCAGGTGTTGCATTGGTCATGCATCCTTGACCAGCTAACGCTATCTCCAGTCTTTTATGTGACGGCTGGCGTCATGGTCAGACAGCGCCAGTGCCGACCACCGCAGCCCACAGAGAGCCTTGATGACAGAGTATTATTTAATAGTCGCGGGGCCGTGCTCACTTACACGGCGTCCCCAATCACAGTAACAAGTAAAGGGTGTTATCACTGATTGGATGATGATGAATCGTCAAATCATACTGCATACGACCTTCAGCCAGCTGATGCATTCGGAAAGGGAGACAAGCAAAGATAGAGGTTGTCTTTTCCGTCACGAGTCGCCCCACACAAACCGAATGTTAAGCGGTGTGGAGCGGTGGAAGTCTGTTCAGTTGTATTGACTCGTCTCTTTCGTTCAGCCCGTCCCGAAGATCGTTTTATTGGCCCTCTGTCTGAGAACGAAACAGTTATAGACCAAGGTAATGGCTTCGACGAGTTCGTTTACGGGGCATTTACGGAGGCACTCAGCCGGGGGGATCCAGATCATCCTTTGTGGGACCGGCCTCTCAGGGGTCTGTGATTCAGAGACCAGAGAACAGAGCTATGAACGACACTCAAACTCGCCGTAAAGACAGCGGCGGATACCGGCGGCTGTGCGCGCCCCAGTGTTCCAAGGATACGACTGGCGATCACTAGGTCCCGGGGGCTGACGAGGTTCGGTGATCGATTCGTGCCGCTCATAGCGCCAAAGAGCGGCACCATTTCCACACCTCTGACCTGACCTCGGCGCGATTGAATTCGCCTCCTCCGCGGCGCGCGGCGGGCCATGCATGCAGATGGATGATCAATAATCAATGACCTCAGATGGCCGAGCGCGGTAGCCGCAGGTGATGATACTCATTTGACGGATGAGCAGTTGCAACGCAGGTCACGTCCGCGTTTAACGGGAGGAGCCTGGGTTATCTCGATATCAAATTATTCGGCATCGGTGTATGTATGCGAGCAATCGGCCCTGTTCATTGTGTTTTCACAGAACGCCCATTTATTTTTCATGAGAAGGCTTATAGAAAAATACGAATTGTCATAACTGAAATCTTGAGATATTTTCAATCCTAAACATCGTATCTCAAATAAAAGGATCATGGTCTGTTAAACCCATAGTAAAATGTCAGCCGCATGCAGCATATGACAGCATACATTACCGATGACCTTGAACAGAAATCAATCATGTGAGCAATGCAGCTATAACAGACGGCGCCCTGCAATCGGAGAGTAATGGATTTGTCCCGTTCGGTGTTTGGACAGAACATCATCATGTACGAGTACCTCCCGGCCTTCCTCGGAGACACGGTGGAGCCCTACAAGGGGTACCGGGCCGACGTCCATCCGGGCATCAGCCACGTCTTCCAGTCGGCAGCGTTCAGGTAAGGAGGCTGGATCGTGAAGAAATCGGGGATGGGTTGCTTCTGTATAGATTTGATTATCCGTACTTTTACATATTTGAGTTTATCATGCCTTCACTTTTCCATGTAAATAAAGAATCGAACTCTCATTGCACATAATTATGTTGAAAAAACGTCCGAAAGTAAAATTAAACCTTTCTACCATGCAGATCAAGCCAAGTTAGTTGACATGGAAAATTCTAGAAGTTAACGTTAACCCACAGGTTCGGCCACTCGATGATCCCTCCGGGCCTGTACCGTCGGGACAACAAGTGCAACTACAAGCGGACCATCAGCGGGGACCTGGCGCTGCGGCTCTGCTCCACGTGGTGGGACTCGAACGTGAGTACTGAGTATTGGTCCCCCTCTCCAGACTTCCCACCGAGGTAGGGCTAACGTCGGGGGAACACGAAGGAAGGAAAGGCCGAACTACTTCAACAGTGACACAGCATAATGGGAGCGCACGTATCCCGGATATAGTACAGCCAGCTGTTAACCCGCGCGGGGCTGGGGGGGTAAATTTTACCCCCCCTCGCGAATTTTTGCGATATCTCAAAAACGGCGGCGCGCAGCGCCGCCAAACTTTCAGTACCTTTTCTTACATCAATTTGACACGTTCCTTGAAAATTTGAGCGAAAACCGTCGGAAAATTTTTGAGAAATTGACGTTTTAGTGACGTCATGTTCGCCATTTTCGCCTCAAAAACGGCAAAAGTTCAAACGCCGCTAACATCTTCATTTTTAAAGGAATCAAGACGTAACAAAAAAGGTTATACGTAATTTTACTTTGTCTATCAAATGGCTATCTAGGTTTTTTGAAAATTTTGGATTTTGGCCTAAATTTTTTCAAAAAACTGATTTTTTTGGGAAAATCATTATAAAATCCAAAATTTTGAGTCTATCGAAAAAACCGGAATATATGTCAGAGAAGTGGTCTATGTGCACCTACATACCAAATTTTAGAAGAATCGGTTCAAAAATGTGGGAGTTATGCAAAATTTTATGACGTCACGACATACAAAATTTTCGAAAAATGACTTTTTTGGAAGTTCTAGACCTCGTACGGAAACAAAAATAGCACCATTCGATTTGCCGTGAAAAACTGCATCAGATAGACACCTTTTTAGGCCTTAACAACCAACTTCAAAATTTGACCTCACTTGACCTGACCTTGACCTGACCTCGACCTGAAATTCATCCAGAGGTGGTCCATATCACTTATTGAGTGTGCCTATTGAATTCCATGAGTAAAATGACCCATAAAACATGTGTCGCACATGCCCTTTTCTATATTTTGTTTTTTGGTGACCTGACCTGACCTGACCTGACCTTGACCTTGACCTCTGAATGATATTGTATGCAACGAATATTGTCTTGGTAGCCTAAGAACACGTTTTGGGCGATCAGTCTCAGTCCATGACTCCATTCTTCGGCAACTACGGTGCAAGGCCGATACTGTAGAAACTTGCAATTTGTACCCTTGACCTGACCTTGACCTTGACCTCAAACTTTAAATTAAGTACATGTTTTTAGTAGTTCGTGATGAGAGCTTTCGATTGGCGTTTGAATTTTCCAAATCGGACCATTAGTTCGGGAGATAACAGGGGGGGTAAAATTTACCCCCCCCCCCCAGCCCCGCGCGTTCGGCTGGAGACCCCAGCCCCGCGCGGGTTAATGGGGCTGCAGCGATGCGGAAGCCATGTAGGCCAGTAACGCCCACTATGCCTTTGAACGGAACTTTGAGTGACGATGCACATTTCGGCCGAGCCAACGGGGTGATGAATTTCTCTCACCCGTTTTAGCCCACTCGCTACCTATGTACCTCCCAACCCTCACGACGACTCCAAGCCCAATCCTTGCTCTTTCACCCACGCCCACATGGGTACGCATTCATGCTCCTGGCTGATCATAGGTGCGCTTTGATGCCTGAGCGGCTCCTTCTGTTGGCCTCTAAAGCCGAGCGGCGGGCCCGTCCCGTCCGCCCCCCGGATTACCGTGTGAAGGTCGGTCGGAAAAGTCGTGACACCACACCCCGCAGTGGTCTCTGCAGCCGACCAATGGTCTGTCGTGTCTGGGGCAGGCCTGAAATAGGTACACCGCCGAGGTGGTATCTCGAGCGGGCCGGCTGCAAATTTGACACATTTCGAGCAGCCGCTGTGTTTGTTTTGAATCGTGTGCACATGAGCGAAACAGACTTGCAGTTTTTCTTTGCAAAATTTAGCTGGATTTATGTGGAGTTGATTCCAAAGCTGGTAGGCCTAAAATAAGTGAAAAATGTATGTGCGAAATAAATGAAGCTTTTTGGTGTGTAACAGACAATCCGCTTCTATAAATGAACTAACTGGTCAGCCCGGCTGCGGTCCAGAAGTGATAATGATATTCCGCGCTATTCCCGGACAGGAGGAAAGATCCTGCCACAAGGGAAGAACTCACCATAACATATTCACACATTCCGGCGTACCTCCTCCTCAGCCGTTTGTAATATCGTTCACCAAATCAGGGAAAATATACCCACAGAACGATGTCAAATTTGTTATCGCTCGTATTTAACCATCGTAGCTGCTTTACAGTTCTCATACCCGGTCTGACTGGGTTTGTCTGACAATACGAGTCCACGACCGACCCAGTGACGTAACTGTAGCCACCCCAGTGACGTATCACCGACCCAGGGACGGGCCGTGATAACAATCGTCCTCGCGTCTGACCGTGTCACCCGGCGCGACCGATGGCCGCCTGACAGACGACCGGTCACAGAGGTGGTCCTCGATGGATGACCCGGTCCCTCGCCGAGATCTAGCCCGCGAGGTTCAGGTGCCACAGTCGCACATAACCGCCACGGTCGCCGGCGGTTTCAATTATAGAGCCGGCGGGGAGGCCGGTCTTATGTTATGGTTTAAGCCGTAGTGATGGGAATTATGTGTAGACGTTATGAACGGTGTCACTGTGATCTTACCGGATCATCCATCTCGAACGTGAAATGAAAGATCACGGCGTGGAATCGCTCGATTCCTACAAATTGTTTTGAAGCTATGCCAATATCTAATTTTCTTCCTCTATCTCGGGCGCTTTGATATTAGAACTTTCTCTAGTGAATCGATATGAAACGGACCGAGCAATACGAGTAGATTATAGCCATAGGGAGATTAAAAGAAAAATATATCGGCCTGCTTGTGCATTAAATGTCATTATCGCCACTTTGCTTGGCATATGACTTTGTATGAGCCGTTCTCCCACCTTACACCCGTTATCCACCGCAGGACGTACTGGAGACCAGCACCATCGAGGAGCTGCTCATGGGCATGTCCTCCCAGATAGCCGAGCGAGAGGACGCCGTGCTCTGTTCAGACGTCCGTGACAAGCTCTTCGGTCCGATGGAGTTCTCCCGACGAGACCTGGGCGCCCTGAACATCATGAGAGGTCGCGACAACGGCCTGCCCGACTACAACACCGTCAGAAAGTGCTTCCAGGCAAGTGTTGAGGAAACGCCGTGGTTCCTTCGCGATATGTGCGATACAGTTTCCGAGCCGGGTGCCAGAGTCGGTTTGACGACAAAGATACCGGGCTAGACCTGGTGGGTGTGTCGGTGGATTTTATCTCGGGCGATAAAGGTACAGACACAATTGCACTGACAGGTAAATGACATGTTTTGCCGTTAGCAACCGTGGCTATCGGATAGTTAGTTCGTGATATGTGTCCAGAACAATTATATTCGTTGCTGGGTGCAGCCTTTATTTAATGTCGTTGTCAAACTGTCAGCTCTGCGGGGCGAAAAGGTGACCAGAGGACGTAACAATTTTAATTTTGTGCTCTTGAACTCCTCGTTATGGTCGTGCAAGCTGAACGTTACGCTGTAAAAATAAGGATACCATCTAGATCTTGCCATAAAATTAGCCAAGAAGCTCATGTCAGCGGATTACCGTTTGGGGAGGCTTATCGCGGCCAGGTAGCCAGAACACACCCACAAGACACTTGCATGTATCTATATTACATCGGGCTCAGCAGTGGAACACATAAAACCAAACTACCTCAGTGAGTCGCAAACAGAGCGTAATCCCACGTAATCCCCGTCACTGATCCGTTCCGCCCACTGGACATGATGTCGCCACTGGTCGTTCTGTTAGCTGATAAACGTGCCGCCGCAGTTGCTGCCGAATATTTACGCTCAGCACCTGATTTAGTAGCTGACCTGGGCTCCCACTGCTCCTCAGCTGCCGATCATCACCAACCTCACGGAGGCGAACCCGGAGCTGGCGGCCGAGCGGCCCGAGCTCTTCAAGGAGCTGATGGAAGCCTACGGGGACCAGGTGATGAACATCGACCTCTACGTGGGCGGCATGCTGGAGAGCCGCGACGGACCGGGAGAGCTGTTCAGGGCCATCATCAAGGAGCAGTTCCAGCGACTGAGAGACGCCGACAGATTCTGGTTCGAGAACACAGAGAACGGGTGAGTGTGACACATGCCCAGTGAGTGGTTAATGTAGTTGTGGTCATTGTTGTGGTATTACTTGCCGGTAATGTTTCATGATTGGGTGCAGGCCATGCGCTTAGTCACTTAAACGTAGAGCTAAAAATCTTCCCGAGGTAAACGCTGGTGCTCGGCTGGGAAGACATGAGCTATTCGCGTCTTGCAGAGAATTTCTCCGGCCGCAGCGGTGCTGTATGCCGTGCACTCTGAGCCGCGACTGAGTTCGTGACTGAGTAATTAAGTCGCGGTGGTTCGTGCAAGGTCAGAGATCGGGCAGCGGGCCGGCCGTGCAACGCTGCTCTTGATATGCTCGGTTTTAGGGCTGCAGGTAGCATTAGACCTCATAGGTATTACGTTATCGTGCCAGTTTTAGAGCACTCGCCTGTGGTTTTGCATGTGGAAAGTTCAACTTTCTTATCAACTTTCACATTCGCTTTCATCGACCTTTGGTTACAGCATCTTCACAGAGACCGAAGTGGCAGCGATCAAGCGAGTTCATCTGTACGACATCATCCTCTCGACGACCAGCATCAAGCGCGGAGACCTGCAGGAGAACGTCTTCTTCCACATGGCGGACGACCCGTGTCCGCAGCCGAAGCAGCTCAATGCCAGCCAGATGGAGCCCTGCCGCCTGCTCAGTGGTCACGATTATTTCCAGGTGGGTCACTTGGAGCGGGTCGTGCGAGACTGTCTGGTGGAGATCGCTTGAGAGACTCGAGTGACGTAGCAGTCACGGTTCCACGATGTTCTTTACGACACCTCGGTTACATATTTGTCACCTGATGCAGCTAATTGCATTTGCATGCACACGTCCCGTCCCATCTTCTATCCGAGCGAGCTATCGTAGTGGTGCTGTCTCATGGCACTCAGTGAAGCGTGACCCGCTTATGGGAACGCTGTGTACTGACGGACTGGCACATTTGCGGTGCTAGGGGAACGAGGTGACCTACATCTACGCGTGCATCTTCCTGGCCGCCGTGCCGCTGCTCACCATGGGAGCCGCCTACGGCGTGGTAAAGCTGCAGAACCGCAAACGGCGCCGCTACAGGATGAAACAGGAGGAAAACAACAACGGCAGGTCAGCACTGCGCTCACTTTCACTCTCAGAGTCGGCGAGCAACGGGGGATATGATTCAGACAAATTTGATGCAGGATGTGAAATTCAAATCGGTTGCAGTGCCATGTTGTGTGCAACTGAACACTAAGCCTGCCTGATCACGCCTAAAACTGGGAAACAGCGTCAATTTCAGCTTAAAATAAAACCACGGGTAGAGAATGGAAGGCTATACCCTGCTCTTCGATGTAATCACCGTTATTTAAATTCCCATTGAACAGTTTTTAAACCAGCGTTTGCACTTTTGAAGCATGCATTATCCCATCTTTTATCGTGTACCAATCAGCTGTCTGCTATCTCCAATGTTATCTCTTCTGATCGCTGACGTGACCTTTCGCCGACAGGTCCACAGACAAGATGTTCGTGACAGAGTGGCTGCACCAAAACCACCGACGAAACGTCAAGATCAAGTTCGGCCCGGACGTGGCCTTCCACACCGTGAACCGCAAGGGCGTCAAACTGCGCACGGCGCGCTTCAACAGCGTCGAGACGGTGGTGGTTGAGGTGACCGAGGATCGCAGGAGCAAGCCCATGTGTCTGGTCCGTGTGCCCAACGATCACGACGTGGTGCTCGACTTCGACTCGGTGAACTCGAGGAAGAGGTTCCTGGCGAAGCTGGAGCACTTCCTGGCCGGTCATCACAAGACGATGGAGACTGTGTCCACCTACAAGGAGCAGATGCTACAGAACGCTGACACGAAAGAGCGCAGACAGAAGCGACTCGAACACTTCTTCCGTGAGGCGTATTCGCTCTCGTTTGGTCACAAGCCTGGCGAGAAGAAGGTTGAGGTTTCTAACGACATCATCATGGTGATGCGCACCTCGCTGACAAAGCGAGAGTTCGCCAGCGCGCTGGGCATGAAAGCAGACTCTGTGTTCGTGCAGAAGATGTTCAACGTCGTGGACAAGGACGGAGACGGTCAGATCAGCTTCCAAGAGTTCCTGGAAACAGTGGAGCTCTTCTCGCGGGGAACCATCGACAACAAGCTGCGCATCATCTTCGACATGTGTGACAACGATCGTAACGGCACCATCGACAAAGACGAGCTGTCCGAGATGTTGCGGTCGCTAGTGGAGATCGCCAAGACCAACAGTCTGACGGACGAACAGGTGGATGACCTCATCGACGGCATGTTCCGGTCCGCCGGTCTCGAGGAGAAGGACGTCATGACTTACGAGGACTTCAAGCTGCTCATGAAGGAGTTCAAGGGCGATCTGGTGGCGATCGGACTGGACTGTAAGGGCGCCAAACAGAACTTCCTCGACACGTCAACCAATATCGCCCGGTAAGTGTCGCTGCAGTGCTCCGATCGTGACAAATGGCAGTCGTTCTCACGCCTGATTGGTTTTCCTCGCGTGTACGCCGTACGGTCTTGGGAGATAATATAGCCTGATCTACGGGAAATTCATAGCTAATCCTGTGGATCGTAGGCATTAGCACCGTCGTGCTTTTACGTGCTCTTCAATGAGCTGTTTACTCAAGGACGTGAGTGCGACTCACAAACAGCACAACGTAGATTTTCTGCGCGTAATTGATTCCATTAGGTAAACTAGATTAATACAATCCCACGTTCAGTCTCCTCCATGCGAAATATTCCTGCATTGTTTCCTTCCCACCGATCATAGCTTTAACTTGCACCGGAAGACTGACCAATGACACAACTCCCGTGTTTTTCCTGTGCAGAATGCCGAGCGTGCTGATGGAACAGGCCAACGAGCGGCGGGAGCACTGGTTCTGGAAGAGGTGGGACGCCTGGGTCACCTTCCTCGAGGAGAACCGGCAGAACATCTTCTACCTCTTCCTCTTCTACGTCATCACCGTCGGACTGTTCGTCGAGAGATTCGCATGTGAGACATTATGATAAACCTATTTGTCGTCTTCGGATCACAACATGCGTACAATGCCTCAGCATTACTTTCTATGAATTGATGTTAAGGCATGTCGTCGTACAAATTATAATGACACCTTAAAAACGTCGCTGTAGGTACCTAATGGCATTCGAAGGGCTTCTGGTTTTCAGGCATCAAGTCTTGCTTGCGTCTATTTCGCGGTCTTGAATTGAAGGCATTGTGTGCCACTCCCGCTCTAAACTTAGCCCTAACTGACCTCGCGTGTGGTCCCGTCCCTGCAGTCTACTCGTTCCAGGCGGAGCACACCGATCTGCGGCACGTGATGGGTGTGGGTATCGCCATCACTCGCGGCTCGGCGGCCTCCCTCTCCTTCTGCTACTCGCTGCTGCTGCTGACCATGTCCCGTAACATCCTCACCATGATGAAGAACTACTCGATCCAGCAGTACCTGCCCATCGACTCCCACATCCAGTTCCACAAGATCGTGGCGTGCACGTCGCTGTTCTTCACGGTGCTGCACTCTATCGGCCATCTGGTGAACTTCTATCATGTGTCGACCCAGAGTCTGGACAATCTGCGCTGTCTGCTCACTGAAATGACGTTCCAGAGTGATGCCAGGCCAGGCATCGGCTACTGGCTCTTCTGCACACTCACCGGTATGTGGCTAGATTGTTAACGAATGTCTGAGTGTCTTAGCGAGGTATTTGATTTGCATATCTACGTATAGTCTACAGCAATCGTTTGCAACCTTCGATGCAAACTAAACAGTCAAATCAGACATTTGAATCGTAAACTTTCCAAGGGACTTTCTTGTTTTCTTGAAATCGTCAGCTTTGCATTCTACCAAGTGGTGGTGGTACTTAGAGCACATTTCAATGATAAATGAAAAATATAAATCGTTTTAAAAACGTACTCAATTGCTTGCAAACTGTATAATGTGACATATTTCGTTTCAGGTACAACTGGCATCATCCTATACTGCATCGTGATGATAATTTACATCTTTGCGCATCCTTTGGTGCGCAAGCGGGCGTACAAGTACTTCTGGTACTCACATTCGCTCTATTACCTGCTCTACATCTTCTCCCTGATCCACGGACTGGCTCGGCTCACGGGCGCACCCAGGTAAGAACATCGAGGGATTACATCTAAATGCATCAATTAGCACTGTTTCAAAATTAATTGTCAAAATTAACTCTGGGCGATAAAACCTTATGGGGGTAAAGAGATCGTTGCAGAATGCGCAACAAACATGAATTCGCTTAGGCAATATATTAGATCGATAAACGGTCTTTCAAGTGATACAAAGTGGCCCTCGAACCTTTCCTCGTTTTCGTATACCGTATCTGATGTATTCATCACTATTTGTTGCGTTCTAGATTCTGGATGTTCTTCGTGGGACCGGCCGTTGTCTACACGTTCGACAAGATCATCAGTCTGCGCACCAAATACATGGAGCTGGACATTATTGAGACGGAGCTGCTGCCGGGCGATGTGCTCAAAGTCAAGTTCTACCGGCCGCCCAACTTCCAATACCACTCGGGTGAGTACATGAGTGCGAATCTCTGCATCTTTTATTCATTTGTGTGCCAGAAAATTATTAATATGTTACATATTAATGAGCGGTTCAATAACGTTGCACGTTGTTTGTCACCATTGCGCTAGACGATGTCGAACAAATCTGCGCTCGTTTGCTTTGGGATTATTATCGTTTTGCTATGTCATGTCTCGTTTAGCCCCGTTTTACCTTTCCCTACTGGTACACGTGAATGATTTATGACTCTATGTAGATTGTAGATGGTTTCCTTTTCTCGGCCGTCTTATTCCTTGCTATCCAGGCAGCGTGTTTTCGGAGAATATACAGGGTGTCCCAGAAGTCTTGAAGCTTTTTTATTTTTGTCGTGTGACCTTGCTATGCCACCGATTAAGACGAATCATGCCTCAAACGAAAGAGAATGAACTGAAATTTTGTATTTTCATGCGTAGAGCACCACTTTAGTCAGGTGGCCCCCGTTGTGAGTCGCACAAGAACGAGCGCGAGAGATCACGTTCTTCGCTGCCGCCAAGATCTCCCGGTTTGCGAAACACCGGTGTCGCCATGCCCGTTTCTTGTCAGCTTCAGAGTCTTATTCCCTGGAGCGAGCGACATAATATTAGCCACATACATTTCCAACGGGTTGATATTTGTTTTAGCACCATAATAATGCGACGAATCAAAGGATTACAACGTGCTGTTGCTTAGCGCGCTCAAGCAGCTGAGCCTTATTTTCGTAATGGATGCGTGCAAACATGTCAGGAGACTTTCTGATCAGTAATTCATTATGTTGCTAATGTTTTCTCGGAGATCCAATACTCTGTTTCCTGGCTCACTTCATGAAATAAGGCTCTGAAGCTGACCAGAAACGGGCATGGCGACACCGGTGTTTTGCAAACCGGGAGATCTTGGCGGCAGCGAAGAACGTGATCTCTCGTGCTCAATCTTGTGCAACTCACAACGGGGCCACCTGTCTAAAGTGGTGCTCTACGCATGAAAATACAAAACTTCAGTTCATTCTCTTTCGTTTGAGGCGTCATTTGCCTTAATCAGTGGCATAGCAAGGTCACACGACAAAAATAAAAAAGCTTCAAGACTTCTGGGCTGGGACACCCTGTATTTGATATCTTCATGTATGGTACTTTTGGCTGGCGTGCTGGAGAGTCGTTTCCTGGAAACCTTTCCCGTGTACGGTGCCGTTTGAAAGGAAATCCCGGAGATTAAGGGGTTTTGGTTTCCCCAATTCAACTGTCATGGTCAGGAAATCTCAAACTGGCGCCAGACATGATCGGAAGCCGGTCAAACGAGGGCCAACTATTAGTCATATATCGTGTCTGCTAAAGCCAGAATGACAATATCCTTGCCACCGACGATGTTCTGTACCTATCTCAAATATATCCGCCATAATAATCAACTGTTTCAATGTCCCCAATGACAACGTTATGGGACAAACGAGAGCTAATCAAGATATCATCAATGTCCGTTGAGATGGGCAGAGATCACTTTGAAGTTTGAACCAACCATCGAACTATACCTCATAAATGATACGCATGGCTACGTTTAGGCACCGCACCAGTACTTTCCTAAAACCAATCCGAAAGTAATTACTGTTGCTCGGTGGCGAACGACCGTTTACTTACCCCCGCTTCCCTTGCCCGTTTTTCCAGGCGAGTGGGTTCGTGTGAGATGCACGGCAGTGAGTCACGAATACCACAGCTTCACACTCACCTCGGCACCCCACGAGAACTTCCTGTCGCTCCACATCAAGGCGCAGGGACCCTGGACGTGGAAGCTGCGGAACTTCTTCGACCCCATCAACTACATACCGGAGGAGAATGGACTGCCGCCGAGGGTAAGTGCATCAAGTGTTCAGATCATATTTCTCATATGATATATAACGAAGGAAATTCGACGTTTTAAATGTATAGTGCCACACTTTGTGGTTGACGTATTTTTTTAATTTAAATAAGATTTTATATAAAATTTTATATTTCAATATAAAATTTCATGCACAAGTCATTAGAACATAATAATTTACGATCACGGAGTCAATAAAAACAAATCAATAAAACGTTAGAAACGTTATTTGGTTTGTGTTGTCAAGTCTTGTTATGTTCGACAAACATTCGCGCAACCACATCTTACTCTCTAACCCATCTGCTTCCCGTTCGGTAACGGCACCGTAACACGTTCCCGTTCATCAGATCCGTCTGGAGGGTCCGTTCGGAGGCGGTAACCAGGACTGGTACAAGTTCGAGGTAGCCGTGATGGTCGGCGGAGGCATCGGCGTCACCCCGTACGCCTCCATCCTCAACGACTTGGTGTTCGGCACGTCCACCAACCGCTACTCGGGAGTCTCCTGCAAAAAGGTACGTCATAAGCTGGCCCCCGATACTGGTTTCTTACGATGTAAGAACTGTATGTGAGTGATGACTGGGCTTGCTGAAATTACTTACGAAGAAGTAATTGAGGGAGGAATGCCCTGTATTGTTCTCGATTCTCACAATGCACGAGTTCACGAGCATCGCGTAGACTACAAACTAAAGACGTATGACGTGCTTTCGTCAGGTATACTTCCTCTGGATCTGCCCGTCACACAAGAGTTTCGAGTGGTTCATCGACGTCCTGCGAGACGTGGAGAAGAAGGACGTCACACAGGTCCTGGAGATGCACATCTTCATCACGCAGTTCTTCCACAAGTTCGATCTGAGAACGACCATGTTGGTACGTCAAGGCGTCCAAATGATACTTGCCATGGGCGGGTGGTCTAGTGCGTTCAAATGTTTTGCTTCGCTTATTTTGTGGCGGATAACACGTTTAAAAGTCGGGCACTTCTTAACCCGCGCCCCGTAGGGCTACCGGCGGACCCTACCACCCGTAGGGGGGGGGGGGCCGTTTCGGCCCCCCCTAAGATCTCGGAAAGTTACCGGCCGATTTTCAAAATTCAAACGGCGTTCGATAGCCCCACCCGGGAACTACCTTGTGACCAAATTTCATTGACCTAGGTCAAACCGATGACGTCACAGGTCAGGTCAAAGGTCAGATTTTCACCGTTCACAGGCAATTCAAGAAATGTGCTGTGAAAGCGAGTAAATTGGTAATTTATTGAAAACCATCGATGGTACATTGTTCGTCAAACACATACTTTGTTATCTGAGGTCACTGATACCAGGTCAGGTCACAGCGAGGTCAGGTCACCGGGGGTCACAATATGAATGTGTCGTGTGATACATGTTTTATGGTCCATTTTACATGACAAATGCGATTATGTGGGTTAGGCAGCCTTTGGGGCCAGCCTAGGTCACGTTTTGGTGAAGGTCAGGTCAAGGTCAGGTCAAATTAGGTCAAATTTCAAAGTTGATATTTTTGCATAAAATGGGTATCGATTCGATGCAGCTCGTCACGGGGAGTCTAATGGTGGCCTTCGTTTTGCTCTACGAGTTCTAGAATTGCCAAAAATTGAGTTTGAAAATTTGACGTCATCATTTTCGAACAGTTTTTTTCGCTATAACTTGGCCAAAAAACGAGGTATCGATCTGAAATTTGGTATGTAGATAGAAGACGGTAGGCACTATCACATATATTCCGTTTTTTTTTTAAACTCAAAAAACTTTTTGGATTTTTTGGCGAATATATCAAAAAAATGCTTTTTTTGATTTTTGGGGGTCAAAACTACAAAATTTCAAAAATTCGAGATAGCAGTTTTGTAGCCCTGTCAATTTTACACCTTTTATGTCTTGATCATTTTTCTGTATCTTCAAAGCTGTAGTCCTGACAGGTCTTCTCGCGAAGGTCTTTTTTCGGTCGAAAATGACAGAACATGACGTCACTCTGACGTCATTTGTGGCCAACCTATCATAGCCTCTGGAAAAATTTTTGGTCACAATGTGTAAAATTGATGCCCGGAGGGGTCCTGAAAGTTTGGTGGCGATATCTCCAGCCGTTTAGGAGATATCGACCGAAAAGGACAGGGGGGGCCGTTTCGGCCCCCCCTACGGGGCGCGGGTTAATCCAAAGACAATCAATCAAAATAGTCAAAGATAATATGTGCAATAGTATTTCATTCATCGTTAATTGTTAGTGATCCACTCTTCGCATTCCTTTCGGGGTCACCACTGGTGTTAACACATGTCTCACTTTCTTGCAGTACATTTGCGAGAACCACTTCCAGCGTCTCTCGAACCGCTCCATGTTTACTGGCCTGAAGGCCGTCAACCACTTCGGACGACCCGACATGGCGTCCTTCTTCAAGTTCATCCAGAAGAAGCACAACTACGTAAGCTATCTGTGACGCGCTTATTCGATTAAGCGAACTCTATGTATAGTGTGGCAGGCTTGCTTTGTCAGGTTGATATAATAACTGACCGAATGGAATAAAACGACTGGCCCAGTCATCGAAATTTCAAATTTCCACTCTCAAGATTACTTGCGTCTGTTGCCTGTACCTCCCTACTGTTGTTATTGACGTCTTGTTAACCTATCTCGGTACCTCTGCAGGCAGTTAAACAGGCAGTTTCTGACCCTTGTCTCCGTTTACCACCAGGTCTCCAAGATCGGCGTGTTCAGCTGTGGCCCGCGTCCGCTGACCAAATCGGTCAGCACGGCATGTGATGACGTCAACAAGGGCCGCAAGCAGCCCTACTTCATCCACCACTTCGAGAACTTCGGCTAAACAACAACGCTAGAGCGAGGAAGAGCCCGACTCGGAGCTGAGGGCCCGTGTAGAGACTACCTGTCCCCTGGCGAGGCTATCGCCCTCCGGGCCAGGCTGACACGAGTCGGGTCACTGCTGTAGGTTCATGCGGTGGGTTGAAGGACTTATAACCCTGGAGGTTGAATAACTCTGCAGCATGATGCTGTCGCCGCCAAGAGACTCTCATATGACACAGCCAAGAGTCATGCCAAGATATAAGTGTGTGTGTGTGCGTGAGTTTGCTTGCTTAGGTGAAAGGGTTGAAAAGTGCGAGCTTGTGCGCGTGATTTATAGAAGCATTCGTGTTTGAGTGTGCGTATGCTGATGCACTTGCTACGCCTATGGGTGCCGAGCATCTCACGGGCTGGTGGTAGCGTATATTAGACCGGATGAACTTGAGTGAGAAGCACGTGAGGACCCATATCGTGGCTCAAGGTCTGGCTCACCCTCTAGTGACCTGGACAGACTCCGAATCCACGCAGTCGCGAAGGTGGTGTGACTGTGATCTAGACTGGACACTATGCCAGCACTACGCCTTGCACTACGCGAGAGTGACGTGAGCACTACGCCGGGATTGAGCATGTGAATCGATGTCATCACCATACAGACAAAAACAGATTGTCACTCGGAGACAGGACATAGTGAGACTACACCACAAGCTTCAGGACAACGAGCGAAGTGACCCTGTCGAAGCGTCCCTGGGTCGGAACGGTCGCGTTCTGAGATCGTGTGCCGGACTGTTCATGTGCAGAGGCCCACGGGCTGGTGCCTTTGCGGTGTTGTAGCGGGTAGGGGTGGGTTTAGTCAGGGGATTGTGCTGTCGGCTCCGACTGTCGGGAGCGCGGATCGGCAGAATTTGCCGCGCAAGGTTACCTATGTCCCTCAATAGGAATTAGGATAAGATTGGACTACCATGGGAGTGGGACATTTTCAAATCGGAGGACTATGCCGACATGGATATTTTAAAAGCGGGCTGATTGGCGCCGATATGTCAAACAAGTGTGTCTTTTTAACGTTACTTTTCTTATCATTTCATATTCTACGTTTTACTGTGGCCTATTTTTTTAGCGCAGTCTGGAAAAACAACGACAACACTGTCGATAGAAACGTTGTCCGTAAACTTCCTGCGCCGCCAGCGTGATGTATTCCGTTCGTAGATAAGACACATGTCTTTCGTAATTAAAGTATATAAGTGAACCGTTTTGCGGCTCGATATTTTTGTAATATGCGATTGTATTGATGACCGTATGGTGCGGACGCTGCAGTTTCATGTGCCTGAACGAGGAAAAGGTGTGAAAGCGTGCATGACGCCTGTATTAATTTATTTATTTTCGGCGAGAATGAATAGTTGGTGTAACCTATTGCAGCTGCGCACATGCCTTCCGCCAGGTATTGTAAGTGCCCAGCTCCGAAATATCCAGCATGGGTATTTGCCATAACATGGGATGATTCTGAGACGGAAAATAAAATTAGAATCATACAAATGTTTGCATAGTTCAAATGTGTGAAGGTAATAGCCATATAGGTATGTTTGAAATGCCTTCCTCCGTGGCGCTTTATACGCGCCGTTTAGACGTTTCGTCGCCAGCTATCAATATCGCTGTGCGATAGCCAGCTTAGCTATAGCCAATAGCTAGGCTATGCTCTGCTTTTCTACGGCCCCCGGTAAGTATCACACAGCACCACCTGGCGGCCGGCGCTGAACTACTATCGTCGACTGCGACGAGCCGTCGGTGGCGACGGACGACGGCCACGACTCCGATTGGAGTGCCGTCTCGGCTTGGCTCGTGGTTATCACGGATTTCACACGGGCCCTGTACAGGAACTGTAGAGGAACCTTTGGTGAAAAGACGCAACAGGTTGTGCATGGATGCTTTGCGCAGAAACAAACGTCTGGCTAAGTGACTAAGAAGCAAATCTAAAAGGCGTCGGAACTTCTGACAGACATACCAGCGACAGAGACGCCTATTTCAACTACTTGCTATTCGACTCCTGCATAATGCCATAAACGCGAACGTCTTTCGGGATCAGCTTACTTCAGTAGGTAAGTACGTTCGCGTAACTTCTTCACGGCGGTGAAATTTACAAGTTCAAGTGTGTACCAGATAAAAGGGAGATCCCTGCGACCCTGAGGCACCACTATAGCCTCATATTCGTGCGACCTTTATGGTTGCCGACGGAAAACTTTGGGTCATCTCGCCAGAGTACAAGAGACACTTAGGCACGACGGGAGCCGAAATTGCTCACTTTCCGGCGCTCAAAGTACATGCTTGCTTACATAAAATGTCAAAATGGTTCAGCAAACACTGCCTGACTGAGCCTTCTAGTAAGACCTTGGCTTGGCATGTCTCTTGCCCAATTTATTTTCCATTTATATTTTCTTCTTGTTATCAGCGGCCAATCATACATAGGTTCGTGATCTCTGTTCTGGGTACTCCACTTATATCTCTGCCCCCGTGGCTGATCCTGTCCCCAGTGACCACTAGCTACTAATCATCTGTCAGACGGTTCGACCTACTCCTTATTAGTCCTCTCTCCTCCCTTGGAGCTCTCTGTCCTCCCAGCTCCGAGCCACTCCTCCTCCAGTCCTCTCCTCCTAGCTCTGTGTTCCCCTAGCCGCCGCGCCGGCCAGCTCTCCTCTCATCTAGACTCACTGTCCTCCACGGAGGTCGAGAATGCAGCTAATCATCCCCTCAGCCAATCGTCCAGTCCCGGGACACTGCACGGCGCACTGATTAGTGCTGGTGGTGCCGCACGACACTGATTGGTGACAGGATGGGGACGGTAGCGGCGCCGCACGGCACTGCTTCGTGACAGTTCGGTAACGGTAACCTTGCCTAGTGTCCACGGTACTAATTATTGACAAGACAGTGGTGCTGCCCACGGTACGGATAAGTAACAGGACGGTGGCGCTACAGCACGTCACTCGTCAGTCTGAGCTGACCAGAGTCGGATCGATCGGTGGCGACCTCGGTCACATCTGCTCCCCCACCAAGACCCCCTCCCCCACCCCACCGCGCAGAGCAGTCAGCAGAGTCGTGTCAGTCAGCAGGGCGCCAGTGGACGCAGCGGTGGGGGTGAGAGCCGGAAAATGGGGGACGATCGAGACAACAAAATACGAACGCACAACTGACTTTGAAAGAAAACCAGTAAATGGAAAAGTTGTGTCTGTCATCCAGGCACACAGCCTTGTCTTAATTAACTTACCTATTGTTGACATCCTTCCAGTCGTGTCACTTCAGTAGGTCACCGAGGAATTCATGTCTCAGGCACAGGTCACTGACAGGTCAAAGACGTTGACCTCGGCGTCTTCTGTGTATTGCCAGCGGTCAGAGAGCGGAAGGCATGTCCGGTCGCCGGTGCGTCGGACAACACTCAACACGGGTCACTGAGCACAGGCGTCGAGCGGCGAGCCGTCCCGCCCGCCCAGCTTCTCTATCACAGCTGTCTGGACACGAACGCCACGCGCATTGACGAGTTACATCGACCGGCAGTGGCCCGGCTCCGACCGCTACACGTCAGGGGTCAGCGGCCGGGTCAAGAGGTCAGCGGCCGGTCAGGGTCAGTGGTTTGTTGGAGGTCAACGGCCGGTCAGGGTCAGTGACCTGCAGCACAGCTGAGGTCAGGAAGGTCCCCGGTCACAGGAAGGTCACACGCGGTTTCTGGTTCCGGTTTTGGTCGGTCGTATCGCGCAGATCACAAGAAAGCGTGAAGCATGAGCTGCCATGGCGGCATCGGTCTCAGCCACTGCAGCTTGCAGAAGGCTGATTGAAAATGTGCACGGCGCAAAGCAGCGACAGCAGAGAAGAGTGACCGATTCGGTCACCACTGCGCGCTGCCGACATCAAAGACACTCGCGCTCATCTCTCTACGGTATAACATCCAAAGTTGAACACAGAACACCGACGCTACACGGCGCGCGACGCGGAGGGGGCACGGAAGGGGGCGCGTCGGTTTCCCGGGGTTCTATGTACAGTCACTTCGACAGTGGATCCTCGTGGGTCTTCTCGTTGGTATATACTTAGTACATACGCAGTGTACTGAGAAAAAGATGGTGAAAATTCATAGCACAAAGCTAAGTAAATTGAGCTAGCTCTGGTTCGAATGCACTGTCAAATTGTCACTCATCCAGATGTTTTCAATTTTGTTTAAAGCCGAACCATCTATCAAACATCGTGTATAACTCAAAGATTACACGACATGACTTTGACTATGTAGTACAAAATGTGCAAGGTTGAATCAGATGGCAATTATGCCTAGTGAACAGCAAACGCGATATTTTGTTATGAATCTCAAATTTCATACATATTTTAGTTATGAACTCAGATTCATTTCATTAAATGTCGCGTTTTGAAAAATAACTTACTTTGTCATAAAAGATTAACAGGATCAACATTTGAGCATCCAAGCACACTGACACTTTTATTTTGATTTTAAAACAGTTCACAGTGAACTACATTCCTAACGTTTAAAGCGTAATTGTTTCAATCAACGGGACATCGTGTTTATTTCTTATTTCGTTTCTTATCATAACGTAAAATACAATTATTAGTTGTCTTTAAGAGATTTAACATATAAGGCAGCTTGAAAAATTTCAACACTCTCGGATCCCGACTAACATGAGAGTAAATTATCTAGGTGTATAACTAGTTGTCCTTCGTCCCTTGAATGTACGCAGCTTTTTGAAACATCAGCCTCCAGGCGCCTCAGCAATGGGCAGTTGCTCGCTCAACAGTCAACACCATTCTGCCGCTCTGAGACAGACAAAAGGACGTGAAAGCACGGAGACGAGAAGAGGAACACATTATACATAAACCTGTAACGGCCCGGCTTGGCATAGCCAGACAGTGGGTCCAGTTCTGCACGGAGTGTCCAAACCGGCGGGCAATGCCGCCTGCACCGCGCGGTCCTGTCTTAGGAGCACTGCGGTCCGGCTATGGGTCGGCTCTCAGGGCGTGACGTCATCGGAGATCATGACGTCATCAGAGGCTGTGACGTCACCTCGTCTCAGCTGAGGCACTGACGTCATCTACGACCCGCACGTCAGCACTTGAACAAATTCTGAAACCGAGAACAGCAAGTGTCAGTCCAAATAATAGATAACTGCCGTTGCGACTTTTTTAAGTTAGTTGGTGCTATGAAAGGCTAAAATTCAAGATGAAATGACGTAATCTATGCAAAAAATATGTGTACTTTTTACTTTTCAATTTTCGCTAACTGTTTCATGCAATGATGATTGCTTGCCATTAAAAATTCCGCCGAAAGTCAGACAGACATATTTTCACTTTAAGGTAATGCAAATTGAAACAAAATAGGACCGTAGACGGTTAGCATCGTGTATTATGAGATCCCACATTTATTAGGTTTGTAAATGCCAAAAAGATTAAATGAATTAAGGACCCATATGCCTAATCATTGTTAGCAGACTTTTGCCTTCGGCCAATGACTGAGAGAAATTAAAAGAAAAAATGCAATCAATTTGGAAACGTCACATGAATGATAACGACATCAATACAACCATAATGACACCGACAAGGACGAAGAATATGTTCTCGGAACGGTCATTCAGCGGTCATATCACTGACAATTGTCCAATCACAGCACCAGCCGCAATCACTGTATTCCCTGGAAGCAGGAAACACGAGCTGATGATTGCGGCGTGGTCAGGCGCCTGATAAATACGGACCTTTGTAGTTGATCCTGCCATCCCCGTTTTTATCGGCCTCTGAGATCATGTCCTCCACCTCCGCCTTGGTCAGCTTCTCGCCCATCGAGGTCATGATGCGCCGCAGCTCCGAGACAGACAGGAAGCCGTCCTTGTCCTTGTCAAACACCCTGAGAATCAAACGAAATGAGGTCATTGAATAAAAGGAGTAGCCGATCCAAAAAAGCTCTAAAAAGTAAGCCACTTTACCCTTGATCAGCACCAGTGGCGCTGTTTCATGTCTCACATCCTGTGGCACGTCCTGATCCGTATTGCAGCCTTGAACGCATTCCTTGTTTTCTTTCAGCATTGTAATAGTTCATTTACTGTGACAGCGACTTTTAGGTATGTTTCAACAGCAGATGATCAGAATAAGCAATACGTACTTGAAAGCCTCTTTGAGTTCTTCTTCTGTTGCCATCCCTGCCATCTTTCTTGCCATAACTTGTAGAAACTCGTTGAACTCAATTTGCCCCATTCCTTCTTGATCGACTGTTGTTATCATCTGCCTGAGCTCCGTGGCTGCAACACAAGGACACTATAGTTAGGTATATCCATATATATAGGTATATATATATATATATATATATATATATATATATATATATATATATATATATATATATATATATATATATATATATATATATATATATATATATATAGGTATATATATTATATATATATATATATATATATATATATATATATATATATATATATATATATATATATATATATATATATATATATATATATGGATAGTTAGGTACGATATCC